GTCCTACAGGAAATTTGGATCACAAAATTGGAACTCAGCCGAAGAGTGGTAGCTTTTCAGAAACCCTAAACAAAGAACTATTAACTTCGTCCAAAAGCAAGGCAGATGCCTCTAAGACCACCTTGGACGGCACTTTTCAGTTTAGGAAAAGCGAAGACGAGCGGAAATGTAACGTGTGTAGGGTATGCAAGAACTCAGAAGCTGTGAAGTGTTCTGCTTGTGAAATAACTAAAAAGTTTGAAAAACAACAAACATGTTTGACAACAACTTTTAATAATTTACCGTTGACTTCTTCTGCTTTTAGAAGTGAATGTAAAATGAAAAATGTCATTGTCACCGTAATTTAGAGTGAATGGGTCAATCTTATGAATCACGCTTTGGTCTGACAAATAGTATTTGTCTAGAATCTGCGAGATTACATCGAACTGGGTCTTTAGTAATTGAGAAACGAACGGCTTCTCAGGACAACTTGCTGTGTTTACCACTACCTAACATAACGCGAACTACCGACTAATGCGAATTGTAGCCCGTGCAATTAATACTTTAAATATAGTTAAGTTTATAAAGAAGGAGAAAAGCCCTATGATTGGAACAAAGAGTTTTGAGAGCAGTGGAATACATAAGACAGACTCAGAGTGCGTGAGATAACCCAAACAATTTTGTCCATGTAAAAGGTGAAAACTCATCTTCTTTCATCGCGCCTAAATTTAAAAACATGTAAAGACTTTATAGACGGAGAAGATAGGCCGTTAAATACTTCAATTTTCTCCTAATACAATTTTGTGCTAAAACAAAAATTATTGCTTCTTTTCATGTAAACTTACTTTAACTTACTTCGCTACTGCTACTAAAGTATATAATAATATGACCAATCGCCCATGGTATGTCCGATATTCGTCAGGGTTAGAGAGGAGTGAGGAAAGGGATAGAGCTAGATAGGGATGTGGTGGTTGTACCCTGGTGTGTGTGTATAATTCCCAATCGGTAAGTGTTATGCCTTTACCGATTAGGTCCTCGTTATAGCTAACAATAACAAAATTACCCACGAAATTCTTACCTACCCGAGTTAAATAAATTTGATGATCTGGTCTCAGATGTTAATATTCTTCATCTATTTGTGTCATAAAAGACCGAAATATAGACTTTTCCGCCATATAGAGCCTTACCTTCTATTACAGTCCTTACATATGCCGGAATCCAAAATATAGGTTTATGTGATCCAAATTTGCTGCAGTTAAATTTTATACGAAATCGATTTATGGATGAATTTTCATAAGCAGATATTGAAACTTAGCCATGAAAGTCTTATTGCTCCTCAGACCCGTTATAAGGAATGCAAATGTACCTAGTCATATGCACCTGGTCCAAATTTGATATTTAGCTTTTATGTCGTATTACTTTTTCGAACGATTTTTCTAAAATAACGCGTTACATAGCAAATGGCCCAAAAAGGAGTTTGTCTAATCCAATGTAATTTCAATAGACTTCGCCCTTCGGCCTGTTGAACAAGTCTGTAATTCGCATATCAAATTTTCTCAATAACAGTGACTTATAGATTGAGTACAGAAATACATGAGCGGGCATCAGATGGATAGATGTCCAAGCATACCTCAGACAATAATTCTGATTCGACCCGCTTAATAAAAGGTGAATCTATCTGGTGACCTCCTGCATGATGTTCTCTCCATTCGCTCATATTTATTGCGCCCTATGGTATAGGATGTAAAAAGGCTTCAATATAGTAACGACGACTTCAGCCTTACAACCCCAAAATATCTTAGCCCGTATTGTAATCATTGCATTTTTATAGCCAACGTAGCTCCGGTACCCTAATTCTAAAAATCTGACCTAAACTAATAAAAAGCTGCTTTTTGTTTTGTTTTTTGTAATCAAAATCTGTTGATATACTTTATAAAAAATAAAGATTGATTTCGAAAGTGTACAAACATCATAAGAAAAACTCATATAATGTTTGTGGTCATAATCCATTGCAAACGTGTTCGTTCCTTTCGGTTTAATCTGAAAAAGTGACGATGTGTGTAATCGATATCATGACGACTATGCAACGGTGGCCATATACTCGTTATGCACAAATGTCTACATAATGAATAACAACACAACAACACAAAGAAAGATATATATATTAGAAAAATGGAATCCGTAGGAGAAAAAAAATGCAAATGAGTACCTATTCATACGTGCGGCTTCATAACCGGTTGACTGTAAGGCAATCAATTTATTGATTTCGCGTTGAAATTGGTTCTCGTATGCACGTTTAGCGTTTTCGTAACGGTTAGCGCATTGTACATAACTGTAAAGAAAAGTAAGAAAACTAAAATAAGCGAGAAAAAAAGAAGAAATCGAAACCAAAGGAAAGAAAGACGAAAGATCGGCGCGGAAAGAGAAATTTTTTGATCGAACTTTCCATGTCTTTTTTGGACTTACTAGGGCAATTTAATTTTACGGTAGCTAGGATGGTTGCTGTTATCCTTTTTATCCTCATGCGGTCGTGGGTTAGTGTATATATCATGTATAATACAATAGAATTTTCCAGCTTCCGTCAAATCTTGCTCTGATTGAATGTTTCCACTCATTTTTCGACGCTTTTCTAATGCTCGTTTAATAGAAATACAGGTGTTTATTTACAACCTTATAAAACAAGAAACACGTAAAATATCCTTAAAAAAAATCACAATGATTTTCATACAAGTTTATGCAAAAGTGTTCTGATAAATTCTTTTATCTTCGTTTGACAATTAATAAAGAAAAAGTATATTCAATTGTCAACCTTGTGACAATAAGACGAAAGTATCTATTATACCGTTGCAATTCGAAAAACGAAAGGTGTTAAAAAAATTCTTACATGCAGAAATTCTCACTTCTGAGTTTAAGACAAAAAAATGCTGCATTTTCTGTCAACACGTATATGTCGTCAGGATATTTTCGATGATATAACCGCATAAAAAAAGTTGGTTAAGAAAAGTTATTTAGCTTTGCTGTAACCTCCGGAATTCACTTCTTTTCTAATCGTTGTCGGAGCAGCACCAGTCGTCAAAGTTTTCCGTTGATTCAACCGCATAAAGAAAGTTGATTAATAAAAGTTGCTTTTCTGTGTGGCCCGGAATTCATCTCTTTACGAAACCATATATGTCGTCAGAGTATTATCGTTGATGTAATCGCTTAAAAAAAGTCTTAACAGAAGTTTGTTAACAGTAACGTTTGGAATTCATCTCTTTACGAAACAACATATGCCGTCAGAGTATTTTGGATGATTAAATCGCGTAAAAAAAGTTGCCTAATAAAAATTGCTTACCTTTACTGTAACCTCTGGAATTCATTTTACAAAACAACATATGTCGTCAGAGTATTTTGGATGATAAAATCGCGTAAAAAAATTTGTTAATAAAAGTCGCTCAAGCGTACCGGAACCGTGGAATTCATCTCCTTCTAAAACCGTTGTTAAGGATTTGTAATGCCTAGCATTTCGAAATATGTTTTAGACTTTTAATGTGGTAATTTGATTCCCGCGTTAAGACGGCAGTCAAAGAAAATGAACGGATCAGAACGAGTAAGTAATAGCAACGCCACTGCGAGGCCTAGATATCTCTTATTGAATGGTGATTTAGCGATCCTTGAAGGCACAACGCATAGACAATAAATAACAAAAATTGATTAGTGATTCAAAGGATTGCAATTGGACTTAAGAAAAGCCCACATGCTTTATCTATTTTTCAAGTTCCTTACAGTAAGCTTATATTCTGGTTTGGAAAGAATTGAAAAGGCTCTGTACGTTCTTGAACGTCAATCAGTCTAAAAGACGCGCTTAGAATATGATTGTAAATTTATAATATGTGTGTAACTCGTATTAGGTAACATCCCTTTACAATCTCATTGCAGTGTTTTTGGAGTGAAATTGAATTAGCCTCAAAGGTAGAAAGGAAAAATCACATTTCAATTTTCTTCTTCTTTTTCTTCTACAATTCAGATGATTCACTGTGCTGAGTACACCAAGCACTTTGTTTCAACATTCCTTCACCAGGAACTGAAAATGTGTTATTACGGGCCAATAGACGCTGGAGACATAGCAGAGCCTTATCCATCGGAATATTGCATAAGGGTTTTTTTTTGCTTAAAAGAAAAATTCTCCGCCGCTTTTATTGGATTAAGATTCTGCACTTTGGTCTTCCGTCGTTTCTTAATATCAGAAATGCGATTTTTACTCAAAAGCTTATTTTTACTTGCACAATCAATTGTCTTTAGGCGAATATCCAGTTCGTCAGATCCGGACTTACGATAAATCCAATTTTTAAGACCATCAAGACCATTTTTTGTTAATGCGATAAAGTTATGAAACTCGCTACCTTCTAGTGTCAAAGCTATTATTAAAGTAAATCGTTTAGAATTGCTATCAGGGTTTTCTAAAAGTGTGAACATAATTGCGCATAATGTACTTTTCGTTTAATATTTTCTTTTATCATATTCAGCCAAGTTTGCCAAGTTTGGAACCTTTTCCTCACATCTTTAGATATGCACAAGAGTAGCCGGATAGGTAAGAATCGCGACTAGGAAATCAGCTTACACGGGTACAAATCTCAGTGCGGTATAGTGAATGCCTGCTCAGTTAGTAAAGGCATCAAACTTACCAACACACATATTAGGCTGCGGCCACCTGTCTCTTTCCACTTTCTGCACTTCTTTCTAGCGGTCATCGTATTACACGAACAGGATAAGTGATTGGTCATGTTAAAGCCAAGAAAAAAATTGATATATTGATCTCAACACATTATGTGTATATATAAATGTATATAATCATCATATTATATAATCTGGATATATAAATCACATTTCTCATTGGCTTAAACTCAACATCCAAAAAAAATAAATAAACAAATAAATAAAAGAAACACTTCACACGTCTTAAGCAATTCAAGAGTTATTGGCAGTTTTTCAAGGACTAAATACAATAAAAAAGCAAAAGAGTTAATAATTGGTAATATTTTGTATGTCTTGCGTCCTCATTGAGATGATTGAACTACAAGCAATATTCAGGAATCGAAAGACAAATGCATGTAAAGAGCAGACAGACAATCAACTGAAGTCAGCAAATAAGGCGACAATATTCGATGTGCACAAAAAGAGTCACTTGCAGTAACCTCCTGGATACACTTGTGTCTCATTTATTTATTTCATTTTATGCAAATTATTTAAGCATTTCGTTAAATTGAATTAAAGTAAATTTAATTACTTTGCTTCTCGTCTTTCAATTGATCAATTCATTATTTCGAGTATGGGCGGCCGCTTCATGGTGCGCTGCTTTACAGACTTATGTTTCTGTCATGCAATTAACGGTATGTTTATAAAAGTCATTAAATTATGTTTATATACAGCAGTTGCGTGTAAGTGCGCTCATAAATACCTAGATGTTTGTATACACGTTAACACATACACACAGTTGTAAGAAATACTGCAACGTTTATTTTGCATGACGCACATAAATACGAAATCAGGTATACATAGCCTGGCAGACTGTTTCGTATGTGCAAGTGGTATTTATATGAACTCAAAAAAGCATAATACACTCAAATAAAGTCAGATGAACGCAGTAAGTAGTTTCTTCTTAATAATCGGAGAAATGTTTGAAAATATTTATTATGTAAATAAATTTAACTTTTTCCGGAATTTCGAGTATTCCACATGCTTTTGTTAATAATTTTTTAATAAAATTCCCGAATATAAGTAAGTGAAAAGCTTTTTGGAATTTAATTAAAGTAAAGTAAATTAAAGTAAAGTGATTCAATTTTTATAATAATGGAATTTAATTAAAGTAAAGTAAATTAAAGTAAAGTGATTCAATTTTTATAATAATGAAATTAATATCTATATTTTTATACCCACCACTGTACCACAGGCGGTGTACTCATTTTGTTTTCCCCAAAATATATGTAACGCAAAACACAAAAGGCAGCTTCATAGACCTTGTAAATTATATACATTGCGTAAAATCTGAGTTGATTTAGCCATGTCCGTCCGTCTGTGTGTTGTTGGCACTCTCCTGGTTCGCAAAAATGAAAATATGGACCTCAAATTAGATAGAAACATTGGACGTTTCTGCACGGCCAAATTGGTCAGAGCAGAAGCCCGCAATGGAGCGTAAACTAAACGCAATTCAGTTTTTTTTAACAAGAATTTTTGAATTTTTGCACATTACACGGAAATTATTAAAGCAAAAATGAAAAACATCCGATATTCCGACACAAAGTTACAAGTGATTAAATTCTGTTTTTTTTCTTTTTTTTTAGATTTTTATGTTTATTTATTGTAAGGTAATCAAGACCGAATGCTTAAAAGTATTTTATATACTCCTTAAATGAAGATATATTATCTGCTTAAAAATGGGTCAATTCTAACGATTAACTTTTTCTTAATACCAGCGATATGGGTATCAAATAAAAGAACTTTAAGTGTAGAATGCGAGAAACGTAGTGGTGGGTATGCGAGATTCGAGCTGCGGCCAGCATAAAGTACCCTACATTATTCCAAGGACTTTTCATCACATGGAATGTGATCCCATCCGAATCATTTTCGTTTTCGATTGAAAGTACGTCAGTGTAACAGTGATCAAAAGATCTGAGAAATTTGCAGCCAGTCGGTTGAACAACAAGAAAACAAGGTAGACGGGAGGACAGACAAACGTAAATCGATTGAGAAAGTAATTCCGAATCGATCAATATAATTAAAATTGGATCTATCTCAACTCACTTCTGAGTGCTGAATGCAACCACCGCATACTTGACAATACCCTTGTACCACAAGTGGTGTACAGTATAAAAAACTCTGTTTACTTTATGACCCACTATGTATTGCATGCACTCACTGGCGAACCGAGTTTGGATGTGGCAGTATTTGGAAGCTAAGCTCTGTTAGATAGTAAGTATAAGTAAACAAGCAGGTCTAGGCAGATAATAAAGTAGTCTAACCGAATACGCCAGAGTGTGTTGACGAATAGGCGACAGAAGAAACGGAACATTGTACTTAAGTCCATACATTTCTTCTATCATTGACTTTACCTATATCGTGCACGAGAGCTAATGCACTACAATGTACTTAATTTTTTAGTCCTTGTATCAGCTTGTGCTCTCATCCATCGCCATGTGCAAGGATCTGCGTCTCCGTTTGGTGAGCAAGTCTGCTCGCATATTCGCCTAACCTACTTCTCTTTTCGTCTGTTCATTAAATTCCCTATCGCATATTTGCTAGTTTGCTTGTCATTCCTTTTACCTGGTATCTCGTGGCTTTCTACTTTTGAATGCATTCCTCTCCCCGTACACCTTTGGACCTTGCATAACCTGTGCCTGTCCACTCGACTGGAAGTTTGTTTATCCATCGAACAATCTTGAAGGCCAGTTAGACGTCATAATACGCCAAACAAGCCAATCCTTGCACGTTTTGCATAAAAAGGAGATTCCTCACTAGCTTTTACATCCCGATATGTGGTAGATGTCATATTAGCATTAGAAGTCATGAATAACATAAGAAAGTAAGTCTACATTGAAGACAAATGGTAATGAATGGGGAAAGTTGTAATACTTCCCTGTCGAATAGTAAATTTATAAAAAGAAAAAAATATTTATATATATAGTTTGGTTAATACAAATATTCAAAAACAACAATTTTTTTCTCATTCAATGAAAAATTTTGAAATTTAATATTAAACTTCTTTTAAAATTATACGTTTAACTTTTTTCTAATAAATGCGAAGAAAATTTTTATATATTTCTGATATAAATATACATCGCTGAGAGTAAAGTTGTCTAAGGACGAATAAAACAGAGTTTGCGAAAGCAAAAGATGAAAATTTATTTGACTATGTAAGAGCAAGTGAAACCAATTTTTATCCGTGGTCACAAGCCCAATGAGTTGTTTAAAGATTCCTATAGACTTACATCGAAATGATGTAACAAAAGCGCTCTCCAAAAAAATGCAATAAAAGGCGTTGAGTTCTAGGACGTGCTGTGTATCTGCATTGAGCAAGAACTGCTTTATTGCTAATTGTAGTTGTATATTGGAGTTAGGATATTGTTTATATCAGATAACAACACAAGGTGATTTTTATTACAGGAACAACACACATTGAAATCTCAGAAAATGCCGGAACATCCCTTATATGGTGAATCCATTCGCCGGAATGAGGCCACCGAAAACTCTGGCGTGGACGACGCCATTGATATCAACGACAATTCCTTTATCGGTATAGTGAAATCGAGAATCGCCAGGATTTTACCTAATCGTATAACGAAGTGGTTTTCAAAGTCAGCCAAAGCCCAAAAACGACGCCATCGTCTTTCAGAAGTCGATAATGAAGATTGCATCGAAGACACAAATGAATATCTGCAATCTAAATATGAAGAATGTCATGATCGCAACCGTTGGGACAGGCAAGATGAAAATTCTGAAGAAGATAGGCCGAACGATAAGTCCCACAATAGTGGAGAAAAATTTCATAAGCGAAATTTGAATTCCTTTCAAACTACCACACCTGAACAACCTGCAAAGCGTTCCCGTATCGCTAGTACGCAAAATATTTCTTTGATGGCGAGCAATAGATCCCTCATTGCTTTAACTTCTCCTAAAAGTAGTAGTAAGTGCCGTAGTTGTAATGGAGGTGCATGGTTACGCTCGTCGGGTCAAAGGGGATATACCCAACAGATCGGAAGCAAACAATGTTACGATTTTATGGTGTCGAAGCTTAATGTAAAAACTAACATCGAGGACATAGTATCTACTCCAATTGAGTTATGGAAAGATGTGTCTTCCGGTAAAAGCGGCGAACTAAATATCTCGCAGATAAATTCGCGTAGGACCTTGAGTGTACCACCAACTGCATCAAATTTTGAAGGGGCTGATAATTTTGCTACAATTTCTAGTCTGTCGTTGTCAAGTGTTAAGCAAGGTGTCTCGACAGATGTAGAAGCTGAAACAGTTAGCTGTTGTATTGAAGATATCAATCAATCAAGGAAACAAAGCGGGTTTTCAAAAGATGAAGAAGGTGATGGCGAAATAAGTAAAGTTAGGCGTGGAGATGCTAATCAAAGCATGGCAACTACCGAGACACATTCAGAAAAGGACGAAAGTGGGATTGAAAATGTGAGTAGGGATACAACTGTGGACACTGCGGGAAAAGAAACTGAAAAGATATATCAGCAACGAAAGATCGGTTTATACGATATGATCCCAGTCAGTGGCACCCGTCAAGGTAGCCGGTCTTCATTCCACAGAGAGCGACACAAATCGTTATCGGCTGAAGCGAATATTCAGGGTTCAATATCTGACGATACTTCTAAAACTTCGACTCTGCTGTTGAGCTGCGAAACTCGCAATCAACTAAATGCTTGGAACTCCGGTAGTACATCCACTATAAGGAATAGGCGCTCGCCGAATATTTTGTCGCCTTTTTATGAAGGCAAAACTACGTACGGCGGTGCAGCAGCTTATCACAAGATAGACAATAGTATCGGTGTTCGTCCGGTACCCAAAACCCGAGCAGTTAAGCGTCCCTTTTTGACTCTATCGAATTTATCGTTATCTAACATATCTTTGGCTGCCACTGGCCGCAAACGTGACAAGTCATCTACGCCTAGAGGAACTAAACGTATACTTCATTTGATTAATGATTTCAGTACGCCTTCAGGTAAGGCCAAAAACTTCGTTCGCAATGTTAACCCTTCTAATCAATTGGTTGCTGAAACTCCTTCGTCGTCGGTAAATTTACTAATGATGAAGCCTGTGCCCCAGTCCGATATACAGTTGGCTGTGTCGCCTTCATCTACGACAACGAAGCAGCAAACAGTAGCTGCTGCAACAACTGTACTTGCCCAAAATGAACAAGCCGTCAGGACATTAACAAATCTAGCCGCTTCAGAGGCATTATTAGGAACATTCACTACGAAACATACGACCAACTTTCTTTTTTCGCCTCCACAAACACATACGGATATACCCCCTTTATACACTCAGAATATCAAATTAAAACAACAACACTACGAATTCAGTTCACCAATATATTTGCAACAAAGCTGCAAATCAAAAAGTCCTACAGGAAATTTGGATCACAAAATTGGAACTCAGCCGAAGAGTGGTAGCTTTTCAGAAACCCTAAACAAAGAACTATTAACTTCGTCCAAAAGCAAGGCAGATGCCTCTAAGACCACCTTGGACGGCACTTTTCAGTTTAGGAAAAGCGAAGACGAGCGGAAATGTAACGTGTGTAGGGTATGCAAGAACTCAGAAGCTGTGAAGTGTTCTGCTTGCGAAATAACTAAAAAGTTTGAAAAACAACAAACATGTTTAGAGCGTATGGTTCGAAATAATGAGGAATCTAGTGAATGTGTTGAGTGCGAAACAACAAAGAAAGTTTCTTCATCGACCTGCATTTTGATGGCTGATAATGGCTTCGGGGATATGTCTAAGTCTAAATCAAATATCTGGAAATGCGACCAATGTTTAGTAGATGGTCAAAATAAAAAACCCGGGCATAACGAAAAGTTTGGCAGTGGTGGTGGGTCCGTTGCATCAACCAGTGATTTTAAGTTTGCTCGTCTAGCACGAAAATTAATCGATGTTAATCATACAACCGCAACCACCTCAAACTGCACTGCTTCTGCACCACCAAATTCCAGATTGAAATTGCTGCCTGCCCAAGAAACAGCATCCAAATGGGAATGTGAGGTTTGCATGAGTAGAAATGATGTTAATCGCATTAAATGCATATGTTGCGAACAACCCAAGCTCAGGTCGATTTTTGCAAATGCTTTTGCCAACAATGCCGAAAAATTTACTTTTGTCGGTAGCGTCGGCAAGTTTTCATTTGGCTCCTTACCGAGCAACACATCAAAGAACACAAACGAATCGAAACAGGCAACCACCGCATTAACTACGACCGACACCTTGGCGATAAAATCTACCCTATCCGCAGTAGACTTCGGTACTCAAAGCTCCGCTTCGACATGCGATAGCGGCACCTTCACTGAAAACTCAAGTGACAGCATTAATAAAGGTTCTTGTAATGGCACAACTAGAATACAGCAAGGCAATGTGCCCACAAGTGTTACTAGTGGATTTGCATTTAAAAGAAACTCGGAAACTATTTTATCTACATCAGATGCCACAACAACAACATCCGTGAGTTTTCCATCAATGGCCGAACAGGCGACTAATTCACAGATTACTTCCCAGGCAATATTTGTGGATCCAGCTGTCCAAAGCTCAATTGACTCGCTTTTTTTTACCTCATTCAACACTGGAGCCACAGTTACGCAACAATCTGTCTATAATTTTACCGGATCTAGTGAAAGTATGTTGACTACAAAGCCCCATTTTAATGGAGACAGCACTTCAACGTCCCGCAATATTTTCATGCCGGCTTCAATGCCTGGTGACCGATTGGCACGGAAACGGAGACGAAAAATACGGCGTATTAAATAACAAACATGATGAAGAACAAATCGTGTATAACCTCTAACAATCTACGCTATTCCCACAGTATCAATTAAATATTTTTCTAAACTGATGGCTAAATAAACGAACGCTTGTACGAAATGTGAATGAAATCGTTTTTCATTTTTTTTGGTGCGCCTTGAAATGAGCAAAAATGTATTATTTAGTTATTGTTGGGCATTAAGGTATTTCCCCTATTTCGTTGAAAGTATGATTAAAAACAAGATTTTTTAATATTTTTAAGACACACATAGACGAGTAATTATCATGGAGTGTCTGCTGCTATCGGGTACCCTTTTCAATTCATTTCACATTAATCAATGTTAGCTATAAGTAATGTTGAGCATGGCGTACAGATAAGATTTAGCATGTAGTGGAAACGGTACAGTATCATAGAAGAGATCTGTTCAAGCAATAGAAAAGTAGTTAAGAGCAGGTTCCACAAAATTTCGGCTAGTACGTGCCTAAAATATACAGTGGCAAGACTGAAATTATAATATGAAATGTTTCCCGCTTCGTGCTATCTAAAAACTTGATCCATAAATTTGCACAATACAAATCGAAACAGTACTGCATGGCAAAGCCGAGTTTAGTTGCTATGCATAGCTTTGACCAAAGCAAATTATGGATTAAAAGGTTTACTTTACCTCAGATTCTACGTAAATTGCTGAGCATGCGAAAACATATTCTTCAACTTTTTCGCACAAGTGCTGTTGATTCTTCTTAATGTTAAAATTGAGAAATTTTCAGGAAACTGTGACTCATCAACTGAACTGTATACGGTAAGAAAAAAGAGCATCTAGTTACTAGTTACTTTAAAGCTTCACCGTTTACGAAAAGCAAACGTAGTAATCAAGTTTTTGCTTTCAAAAAGGAAAAAACTATTGAAGAAAATTATTATATAGTTACGGTTCAGTAGTAAAGAATTAATTTGTGCAAAGAATGGATGCAATCGTAATAAATGTCGATAATATAATAGAACGACTGTTGAGGAAACCTACTTGGAAAGCAATGCAAATAACGGAATCGGAAGTACGCGGTTTATGCTTGAAATCCCAGGAATTATTCTTACAGCAACCTATTCTCCTCGAATTAGAGGCCCCATTAGTCATATGCGGCGATATACATGGTCAATACTCAGATCTCTTGAATATATTCGAAATATGTGGCTTTCCTCCGATAGCCAATTATCTATTCTTGGGCGATTATGTAGATCGCGGGAAGCAATCATTGGAAACAATTTGCCTGTTGCTAGCTTATAAAATCAAATATCCTGGGAATTTCTTTATGTTGCGCGGCAATCATGAATGCGCTGGAATTAGTCGTTTCTATGGATTTTATGATGAATGTAAACGACGTTATAATGTAAAATTATGGAAATCGTTTATAGATTGTTTCAATTGTTTGCCACTGGCTGCTATCGTTGAGGAAAAGATATTCTGCGTCCATGGCGGTCTAAGTCCCGATTTGCATAGCATGGATCAAATACGACGTTTGGTACGTCCTCTTGATATACCCGATAAAGGCTTGTCGTGTGATCTGTTATGGAGCGATCCAGACCGAGATGTGCATGGCTGGGGCGAAAATAGTCGCGGAGTAAGCTACACATTTGGCGTGGACATTGTAACGGAATTTTTAAATAATCATCATCTGGATTTAATATGCCGTGCGCATGAGGTCGTCCGAGATGGTTATGAATTCTTTGGTGGCCGTCAATTGGTCACTTTATTTTCTGCTCCTCAATATTGTGGCGAATTCGATAATGCTGGCGCCATTATGACGGTGGATACTACTCTACAATGTTCCTTTCAGATTCTAAAGCCCTCTAGAATGAAATTTAAATATTTGTGTAACGAAATGAATTCATTACTTTTGCCACCGCCATCGCCACCGCCACCAAGTAACGCTACGCTTCTATCAACGAATGCATTTAATGATGACTATTTAAATGATATAGAAGATGTTCCGATATCGGAAGTGCAGGCCATCATACCCGCGACCAAAAACGAACAGGTTTAAACGTTGCTTTTAATTAAGTTTTCCATTATTCATTTCCACATTCATTTTATAAATAATATACTTACTTACTTGCTTAACAATAGAAAGTAGTTTTGGGTAATGAATTTGAGGTTTTTATGTTGTACATTACTACACCGATAATCGCATAAAGAGGCACTAAAAATAGGAAATAAGTTTCATATAAAAGTTTCTAAATCTAATGGTGTTTTTGTCGTTGTTGTTAGGCTTTAAGCATGCTTATAAAATTTACGTTTTCAAGGAAAGCACATAGATAGATAAATATACACAAACCAACGTCAATGCATGTTTACATATATCGGGTGTGCAAAATGATCCGTAAGGGTCAGAATATTTTATTTCAAACAATACTAACAGGTACACATACTTCTCTCCCCATCTTTCTCTTTTTCAACGTAGATGGTGAATGACAACTAGTGAAATTCGTGAGCGAAGGGCCAACTGTTCATTTAAGACTTTCTACGTAGGCAACTAATTTTTTAGCCCGGATTGAAAAAAAAGAGGAACTCATTGGTCAATATCAGTCTTAATCAGAAGGAGTAACGTCTGATGAACTCAACATTGAAAGTAGTATTTTTTTTTTTGGACGGCTTTCGCATATGGCGCCAAACATCATAACACTGGAAGGCTATAATATCTCTTTTTCGTTACATTGGCATGAGTTCTTACAGATGGCATTCGTTAGTGATGGTTTGTGAACAGTTACAGCGTTACGACTATTCAGTGTATATACCGTCAACGTTAGTGGTAATGGGAGAGAACACGTCATGATTACTTGTCGCCCATTTGTTTGCGTCCCATTCCAATACTGCCACACTGTTCTTTACATTAAGTAAGAAATGCAACTCTTCCCGTTTTTCGAGTCAAGCAGGTCATATCTTAGCGGCAGCACCCATTAACGATAGTCTCATTTGATTGCAGCCGCTCTGTCCTGTAAATAAAACTTGCTTTGACTTAATGGTACCAGTTCTCATTAATGATGGTCTCATTTGAAAAATGACTTCGCGTTTTTTGTCTCAATCGTACCAGTTTTTATATGTAGCTTTCGTTAATAATCACTCCTGAGCCTCTTTATCGGCATAGTCTGCATAATGACTCTATGCGCTCCGTTGGAGCTTCCTACGTTTCCGTACAACAACAAAAGTAGCTCATTTCACTTATTGTTCCATTGGTGTCGGTTTTCATAGGTAGCGCACGTTTGTGATGATTTGATTTCATCGGATCATAATACACTAAACAGACTTGAATTTCGTTATCCATGTTAGAGTGCCGAGAACTATCAGCTTTATCATGGTGAAGGCATAGTTTGCATCTTGGCTATTTATTCTTCATCGCTCCTCTTCTACACGGTCGCTGCTGCGTTATGCTACTCTTCAAGTAAAAAAAAGAAAGGTAACTATTTCCTCTTTTCGGCGCCCTATTACCATACAACCGTTTAACGATTTATAAAATTATATTGTGTAATATAACTTTACGGTTCCACAGAGAGCTTCACATAAAGAACTTTAAGTTTGATAATTTTCTCACGGGGAAAATAATCCCATTGCTCAGGTATTAACTTCTACACCTAACATTTGTACATTAGATTGCCTATACACTTGGAAACAATTTCTGACATATATATATATATATATACATATATATATGTATTTAATTTTTAGTTAATATCTTTAGGTTATCCAGATGCAAAAATGCTGAACAGCAAAACTTAATTAAATTCATTTCACAACAAGAGAATGCATACAAGCATATATGTTTATATATAAGTAGCATGACTTACGTAAAACCGTAACAACAGGTATTGGTTTAGTTGCTCTTGTGTTTTATTTCTTCAATTATTTGATAGTATTTAAATACTACTGAATATAATACTTTTAAACGTCATTAGTTGGATAATAGGCGGAAAACTTAATGATGGTATTAAACGTTTATTCTATAAAGAAACAGAACAAAAAAAAAAAAACAACAAATGACAAAAGGGCATAGTTTACAGTTACTAAAAATACCTTCAGACATTTCATTAATATTGTTTTTGAAATTTATTTTTATAAGTAAATGATATTTCTTTATTGAATCGCAAATACTCTAAGTTATTAAAGCAATTGCTTGCTGATGATGATGAAGCGTCTTCTTCTTATTTCTATTGTCTTACAATCAGAGAAACGAAATGGGAAACTTTAATATAATTATAAGAATTTCGTGCTTTCTTTACATACGACAGCATCTTTTAGTTGATTTCAATTTAGTTTTTCTTTATAAAGAAAGTTTTTATCATTACTTTCATTCAATTTTTTAGAGGTAAGAGTTTCAAAGCATTTTTCATTGTTTATCAAATTTGTCATTTCGTTTGTAACATTCGTCACAATATAATAAGTCGCTTTGAATGCATTTTTGTCCAATAGTTCACTTCTTTCTTCGTATATCCATTTGTTATGTGTCAAATATATCTTCCATCGTTTGTCACCTGCATTTGTTTAACCTTTGCCTAGCAGTAGCTATTCATCGGTTTATATTGATATGAATAAAGAAATATCATTCGCATAAGGCTTAGCTTTTAGATTCAATTTCTTAATATTTTTCCGATATACCCTTAATGATTAAAACATGCTTATCGTTGTAGATAAAATAAATTTGGCAACTCTACCCTGAATACCACTTTGACTTCTCTTTTTTTATATAGGCATTTATGTGTACCAATGTTAGTTCATTTTCCATCTAAGCAATGAAAGAGTAATAGGTTGTTGTTGCAATTGTACTTTGTATAAATTAATTTTGTCAGTTTAATTTGAAGATAATAAAACCACTCCCTACATCGTCACTTCTATCACTACTAATATCTTTCGTTGCCCATTTTGGTTTTGTTATGGTTGTTCCTTTTATATTCCGCGTCGCTGTCGCAGCGCTTGCATCGAAATTGTTTTAGTTAAGCTGCTGGCGCAACGACACCTATG